ATTGAATTCAATCAAGAGTTTTGAATGATAATTTACCTACTTCATCAACTAATGGTGAAATTGAGAGATTATTCCTTTTTTTTTTTCATCTAGTTCATATAAAACGCATATAAAATATGTTTTCATCGAGAATATTCATCGTGGTTTGTTCATTTGAATGACTGATAATTATTGTTATTTTGGTTTTTTTGAATATTCTAAGATATATAAAAACAGCTTTAATAAAAGTTGAAGCTAATAAACCACCATTTTGTGTTGATTTATTATACACTGAAACGCGTTGTACTGCTAGGCAACCCCCAAATTATAATTTAATTTCCGCTACTGAGTACCCCCCCTAGAATAAAAACATACCTATGCGCCTGAATGGAGAAGGGTCCACACTTGCTTCAGTTCGAAGGGAATGCATTTCAGGACATAAAGGAGCATGTAGGAAAAGTAATATTTTGATTCCAACAATATGTCCTTCGAATATACACATTATACACATCGAATTTTGAATTTCCCTGTATTTTAGTTTTTGTCATTCTATCATTTATTTGCCCATCAATATACTCCCACACGGTTTACGACACTCGCCTTCAACTTGTATCGTGATTTACATCGTACTCGTGTATTGATACCTATCATATTACATGTAGATCGTACTATTTTACTGAAAGAACTATACCTATAGACCAATTTGTCAGAATGAATTTGAAAGATTTCAATTACCTCTCATGAATCCCATTTCAAGCAATGATCAAGATTTCGCTCATTCGTGCAATTATTTTGTGTGAATATATTCACGGATCGAAAATAATATTGATATACGCGTTTCCTTCATTTCTCTAATCAGTATTTAACGAGAAAGTGATATTATAGGTACATTAATAACAGACAATCTGTAACTGTATCGTGATTTGTGGCTATAACAAGATGGCACGTGACAAATCGAATGATCAATAGTCTTTGAGTTGAGTTTCTGGTACATTACATCATGTACTGATAGCAGAGAAAATTAATGGATGCAGATTTATAATAATTGTTTCGTGAGGATCGAGAAATTTCACTTATTATACGAGAGCATCAATTATTATCGGATTCTTTTTCTTGGACACTAATATTTCCAATTATTTTCCAATAAATTCGTGTTCTCGAAAAAAGTTCTGGTTTTCAACTGAAGAATAGTATTCGGTAAGAAAATTCCACACCAAAATATTATTGATGAAATACTAGTGAAGATAACGTTTGATTATATAGAAAATACCTACTTAAGTTACGCTAAATATTAATGAAGCAGTTGAAGTAAGTTTGAAGCATAATTCTTGACTAACTTTATTCCACTAAAGTTGGTGGATACATATTCCTTCTCCAAGTTGCTTTTCTCTGACATTTAACAGACAGGAAAGGTGGAATTGCCCTGCCTAGGCAGGAAATGTTTATTGCTATGTAACGTTTCGAGTAATTTGCATGATTTTGAATTGACTAACGTAACGGCTACTTGATGGAATTCCATGGCAAATGTAAAAACTTCACAAACGATAACATTTTCACAAAATTCTAATTCACCCGACATATTTCTTTAACACAGTGGCTTCATCAGGTGAAATACTGGTACAATGAACAAAACTAACCTTGGCTTGCCTAACTTTTATATACCCTACTATCCCAACCTGAAGGATTAGAATTACCTGTGGCTATGTTCGATAAACCTTCATTTTCGGAAAAAAGGCACAATATCTACATTAAAATACGATGTACCGGATGCGATTTTACTAAATATACTGTACGCTAGCACATACCACGCCCACCGTTATATCTCATCTTCAAAGTACTTTACTTAGGCAAAACTCAGAGACTATTTATCCTCAACGAACTAACCTATCCCTGATTCCAATATTTTTGAGGAAGGAAAACCGAATGGAGTGTAGAAACACATTGATTAATAATATTTATTTCAAAAGTTGAGTTCTGCAACAAAATTGAATAAAATGAGACTGTTTATCCTAAACGCACTAATCTATTTGACTTCAAATATTTTATGGAAAAGGAAAACCAGAATGAAGTGAAAAAACATTGGTGAAAAAAAAAAAGTTGCAAAAAAAGTTCAAGTTCACAGCGATTCGAACCATGGACCTTCAGACTGAAAGTCGACAGCGATAACCAGTAGACCATTTGGGTGTATCAATTTAATGCGTACAAGAGATTCACAACGAGAGAACTTTGGTCGAATTCGTGTCAAAATCATAAAAAGTGTATTCTTGCGTTGGAGCACAGTATATTTAGTGCGATGTGCTGACTCAGGGCCTACTCTAAGATAGAGTAGGCCCTGGCTGACTCCGCGTGTATCGATAATGTTTGGAGATATGACGTATTATGGTGGGCGTGGTTTGTGCTAGCGTGCAGTATATTTAGTAAAATCGCGTACCGGATTGACTTGAAAAGGTTGATAATAAATAAAGGTGTACAAAATGACATAGTGGGGTAAAATGACACAGTGCCTGTATACACAGTACTCGTCGTTCGGGAATGCTCGGAAACGAATATGGTATAGTGGTGGTGGTTCCAGTCATGATATTTAACATTTAGTTCCGCTTCATCGTTCAGGGAGGGAGCAACTCCGTGTTTTCTTTCTTCAGCCTCGAAAAGTTTTTGGTGCGATATATTAAAAATTGCTATAAATTGTTGGTGTGATGAACCAGTGAGTTGAGATATTTATGATAAGTAATGAGGATAATTGCTTTTATGATTGCATATTTCAAGTTCAGTAAATGAGTTATTGTTTTGTCAAAAATTGAATTTATTTAAATTAGTTTCATGTGGGGTAAAATGACATAGGTGTGAAGAGGGCAAAATGACATGAGCAAACCAAAACTAGAGATCCCAGAAAAGAGAAAAAGAGCAGTCAGAAAAAAAGTCCTTGAAGAATCCGAGTCGGAAACAGAAAAAGAAATTTTTTCTGCTGATGAAGAAGATGATGCTGCTTGCATTTATTGTACAGAGCTGTACACATTTTCGAAAAGAGGTGAGCTGTGGCTATGCTGTAGTTCGTGTCAAAAGTGGGCACATGATGCAGAGTGTGCTGGGCTGGACAAAAAAACAAAAAATTTTGTTTGTGAGCTTTGTACCGACTGAATGTTGTTAAACAGTATGATGTGTCATTTTGCCCGCCAGGTGGGGTAAAATGAACTTTTCTTGTTTTTTTTTAATATGTTCGGCCAAAAGTCCATATTTTGTCTTACTTCGTGAAAACCTTTTCTGAAGTGTTGCATATACTTTAGTTCATTTATTGTTCGAGATTTCATTGAGAAAATGTTTTTTTTTATGTAAAAATATTCAACGTTTTTAAAATGTATGTCATTTTGTACACCCTTCCCTACATATTATTACTTGAAAAAACAAATGCTTTATTCCACTTTGAGCATTGTGGCTATTTCGTAGTTGAAATTACGCCAGTCGGGCAACCAGCCACTCCCGTATGGGAATTTCAGTTTTGGAGTGATTCTTTCCTTCTGTTCTACTCAGATGGCGTTGCTTTTATATTGTCGATGAAAGACGCCTCTGTGGGAATATAGTGATAATGCCGACTTGAATTTTGTTTGGCTAGCCTTCGCTGAGTCGGCGGTCTTAAGACTGCTGGCTGAAGACTACCCTGCACTGATGAGAGTCAAAGTGCTCGAAACCGGTCTGTGGGTGTCTAGCGTGGCCTGGCTGAATCGAAATCAATGAGCATTCGAAAAGAATCACTTGTATCGAGTCGATGCATAGATCTCGGGAGGATGTAATTGAATGTTGTGCGTAGCATTAGCCAGGAAAGTAGTTGATTTTCTCCCGAAATCTACCATTGCTGTTCAATTTATGAACATTGTGAGAAAATGACTTTGAACTTTTTGTATTTATTCAACTCAATTTATGTATAAAAATCCCATAGGCCGCTGTGATTTTCTCATTAAGACAGAGATAAAACTTTGCTCTAAGTTTTCCAGCGAAAAAACGGAACCTTACATCTAAAACCATGACAACCAAAATCATTGTGAACGAATCTTGATGGCGTTCATGTGATTTTTCTCAATATTGCGTTCTGAATCTTATCTGTGTAAATGTCGTGATTTGGAGCAAGGTCATTGACATGATTTTATTCAGCGGGGGATGGAGAGTTTGGAATTTTTTGAAATGGTGTAACAAATTATCTGCGTAGAGAAAATAGATGACACACACTGGAACACTAAAAAATTTTATTCATTTTGAAATGGGCCAGCGGGTTCCTCTTGACAATATCTATCTACCATTCATTCCTTTTTTCAAACTGTCTTTCTATGCACACTCAACATGCAAGGTTCACTGAGACAAGTTTTTGTCATAGTATATAGACCTCAACAAGGTGTTCACATTTCTCAATGGTTGAGTATCAAGTGGAATCAACATCAGAATCTGCGTTCAATTGCTGGAGAAAGCAATTCAGTTTCACCAATTTTGCTATTTTCATTTCTTTCATTGCTTCTTTTGCAATAATTCTCCCCCATAGGGGGAGACATTGTCCTTCCACATGATGATAATCGGAGATAATTTGTGATTGTCTAAGGAAATCTTCTCTACTTTCCATATCAGCTTGCATCAATGATTTTTTCAAACTGTTCGACTTTATGAATTTGAGTAACACATTTCTGGAAACTTCATGTGAAAGCTTCAATCTGGAGTAAATAGCTAAGCATAATAATTAGTCAAATTGATGTCGATCACGAATCGATCAAGTAGGGTTATAAAAGCTTATACACTAGAAGATGATCGATTCTTATAGAATATTTCCCGAGTTTCTCCCACTTGATATCATGATCCATCAAAATAATCGAGCTAGAGGGAATGTTGTAGTCCACGCCATCATAACAATTTCTTTTTGAATGCCCCACCCTTTTATGGTCATAGATCGTTACCTTCGTGATCGATTATTTCAAGATTAATTCAGCCCAATCGAATAGATTATATTCAATTTAGCCCCTACTCAGTGTACTATAATTTACCTACTCCTGTAGAATACGGATAGGAGTCTTGTGCAGGAAGCTCAGCTGTTTTTCCATAGCTGTCTACGTCTATGCCTCCAATCTGTAAGTTGCTGGATTCGGAGGGATACGATGACTGGAACGATAATCGACGGTTCCTGTTTCCGTACTCTCTCTGCTGAGTTTCACTGATGGCCAAAAATGCCAGAAGATATAATGAGATCTGTAAAAAGAGAAGGAAGTATTTTTTCCGATATTTTGGAATCGAATAATGATACAATAGTGAAACCCGAAACCATACGATGACATTTCGAATGTTTGACCAAATTAGTTGTTTGCCATTCCAGAGAAAAAAAAAATCAATGAATGAAAGATTCTTCATTGAACAACGTCATGTTGAATGAATGAAAATGGAAGCAGGTAAGATTACTGACACCAGCATTGTGTTGAAACATGATATTCGGGTAATTGTAAGTTGAATGTCGAATGATATACTAAGTGTTCAAGAAAATGTGGAACGCAATGCAAAAAGTTATACGGTGCCTTAAAAAAATTGGAGAAGTTTTTATAAACGAAGGTCGATACAGAGCAATGGAGGTAAATATGACCAACAAGTTTCGTTCAATTGCTAGTGAACCGCGTATCAGATATGTCATATATTCTGGTGAATTACTCGAAAGTACATGAGAACCATCGGTCGATATCATCATTTAGTCATTTTATGAACATTCGTGATAATGACTTCGAGCTTTTTTGTAATAATTTGACCATTCATTCCACTTTGAGTATTGTGGCTATTTCGTAGTAGGCATACAGATTGTATTAACTACTTGCTACATCAGAATCACCAGAAATCGATTTCATATCTCAAATGCGACTCATTGCCGTTCTCTCGAATAGCACAAAGTGTACAATATATCAATCAACGGTCAGGGGCAGCTTCAACAAAGATTGCATGATTTACGGTAACCTGTCTCTTTACTACTCGTGTTGTTCAATGGTGGATTGGTGTTTACGTTTTCTTCTATCTAATAATCAAAGTACTATAGATTTTTTTCTCTTATCTAAACAAGCAAGAAAGTGAAGACATAAGTTCATTGTCTTTGTTTATGTGAAATATCTATTCATTTGGCGCCGTGTTTTGCTTCATGAAAAGGACTGAATTTGTTGGTGTGAACACTGTAAACTGATTGTTGAGAAGGTTTTTATGAACAATGGTGATTTATTGTGTCGACTTTGGATGCAAGAACGAGCAAGAAAAAAGTAAATTGTCATTCCATGGGTGAGTTGAATATTGTTCAGATTTTTGGGAAATATAGTTCTTGAAATGTTCATCAGTTAGGTGTACAATGTTCCCATCAGTCTCAGAATATGTTCAAAAACTATACCTATATCATTTGTCAAAGATGAATACTTCCATGACTATTCCATAAACATATTGAGTAATATTATTCATTGCAGTTTTTCATTCAGACATTCTCGAATTATGGATTGCGGCAGTTCATAGAGAGAATTGGACTTCATCTAAAATGAGCAAGCTTTGTGGAGAACATTTCCAGCCAACTGATTATTTATTTAAATATACCAGGTACTGCTAGGTTATTGAAACCATCAGTTGCTGTACCCAGTATATTTCCATTTACCAATGACTTCCAGCTCCCAAGTTTCGAAGTCCATCAATAAAGAAACCCAAACTGTTCCATTGGAGGAGGATATTGTTTTGAGATTTGTATTTTTTTAATTTCTAATAGGGATATGTTTGTGGGCAGTGAACTAATGGTAAAATAGGGAAATATGGAAATTATGCTCAAATTGGACCTCAGCTAGTAAATAGGTACCATTCAAGAACCTCTTTTCAAATTTTTTCTATCGTCTTTCTTTTTCTTCTAATAGTGCTGAGACATTGTGCTTCGCTCACCCTGTACAATATATTGTGACATTTGAATGAAAATAGATAATTTCAATTTTGTATTCATTTGACTTCCTAATCCTGTGAGAATAAAAATGAATTTCATATTGATTGCAACATTTTCCTTTTTCCTACATGAATATTTTCATTTAATCACGTTTACTCCTAAATGAAAGCAAAAAACGAGAAAATATTTCAAATAATGCGAGCGCTTCCCATCAGCGAACATAAGATAGGGAGAGATAGGTATCCGTAAACACTGCGGGTTGCCTGAACAATATTTTTGCCTCACTCGTCGTTCACTAGAGGGTCTCTTCCAGTTGTTTATATTGAGTTCAATGGGCGCTATAATAGTATTCGACTTCGAACGAAGAAGCGATAACTAGCAACGCTGCATCCCCCTCTCTCCCTCCGCATTCGAAATATGACAAGGATACTCCTTTGCTATAATCAACGCAATCGAAAGCCTTGGTCAGAGAATACTGCTGCAGTCACGTCACCTCTACATAGAATAAACCAACCAAACTCTATTTAGCCCCATATAACTCTTCAGTATGTCGAAAGTAGCATCATTTGTACTCTTGAAACTATAGCTATAAGTCTGTATCCGTTTGGGATAACCTCATCAAACTTGTTATTAGAGAGTTGAAGTGTTGTCATGAACTATGAACGTTAACGTAAACGTAGAAATTGACAGCTACGCATGCGCATTTTCCAATTCTTCACGTTTGCGTTGTTAGTGGGCTTACGGGTGTACGTTATCTCACGTTCCTCCACGTATACCTTAAATATCAACGTACGTTAAGCAAAATATACTCGAAATATGCCGATGAGTCAAAATTATCAAATTCGAGATCACCAATAACGAGTTCTGCATCAAGGAGTCTAATTTTGACAGGAATAAATGTTCGAATCTAAACACACAACCAATCCAATTGAGAAGAGTTGTGTAGATAAATAGCTATCTTTTATCAAAATTTCATTCATTATTTTATTTAAATTCGTTATTTCGGACACCCTGTGTTTTAGGATGATGAAAATGGGCACAGATATGTTTCAAGTTATCCCGATTCTGAATCCATACTCAATTCTTCTGAAAATAATCCCTAATAGTACTTCTTGGAAATACAATCGATAACAGTCCAAGAATTGAATCAATCTCCAACCTCTATCCAACAAAAACCAGTTTTTCGAAATCGGTCTTATAATAACGATTTTACAGGGAATTTCGATTCGAGTTTTTGAATCGGTGATATGTTGGGATTCGTGTTTATTGATGATTATTTTTTGCAATAAAATAATTGTGGAGAATGAGTTTGGTCAAGGAGTTTTACTCTAGTCCACAATAGCATAGCTTCAGTCCACTGTGATAATTGATGTACTGATTCAGGCTCTCACGGATTCTTTTTATTTCCTTTACCAATGAATATTCTGTATTTCTCTGCGAGCGAGCAAATCTGCATGCGTCCATAATGTATCACGTAATTTACTGTGAGCAATATGACGACAATGAGGTTGAAGAATGGTTCGAAATCTTCAGACTCCCCTATATGTTCGAACATGTGCTAAATTTTGTGTGAAAAGATTTATTGAAACGTTTCCAAATTGTATCGAAACAAAAGCAGATCAAAGCAACCATCATATTATTGTGAATAACGCTGAATAATCTCTCGAGTGAGAAAACGATGCTGTCATCAATATACGATAATGATGTTTCTATTAAAAAATCAACGATGATTGAACATCGTAATACGGATGCAAAATGCATATATGTTATTAACTACATTTCCCTGATTTGATCGCCTTGTGTCTGGTTATCATATCAATTCTATACTTGAACGATTAAAGTTTTCATCAGCGGCTGTCCTCTCGCTTTTATTATCATTATATTATGAACATATGACTCAGATTTCTCGAATACCTTCACAATTATCAGATATATAGAGTTTCTATCAAAAAAGAAAATGAACTTCAATTACGCAAATATATCTATGTCAGTTATAAATCAGCATTTCCTGTATCCACACTCGATTTTCTCATTATTGTATGTGTCTCGAGAAATCATAACGAATAATAATATCACAGTTGAGAGAATATTACATATACCATACATACTAGGTATACTATGTACAGGGTATATCTTCATGAGTTACCGCGATCTATTCAGGGTGGCACTGAAATAAGTGCAAATATTCCAAATCCTGTCTCTCAATCGACGATTCATGAATTCGACCTGAATATACAGTGTGTCCCACTTTCCATGCTCACCATAGGTATCTTTTTAACGGTGAGAGATACGAGGTCGGTTAAATGACACCAAATGTGGAGTTTGTCAAGGCCAACTATAATGTGAAAAAATATTTTGATAAAATCTATTCGTTTTTGTTTTATACGCAAAAAACAGATTTTGATCATTTTCATGTCTCCTCCGTTACTTCTTTATTTATGAAAATATCCGAATAGGAATTTCACATTCTCATGGCAGTTTTTCAAAGTGATTTCGAAAAATATATGGAATTTATACCAACTCTTCTAGAATTTGAGATATCATCACCAACTTTAGTTTTTCAAATGAAGGTCATAGCTCACTATGACTTAGTTACAAATAACTTTTTCTCCTCTTTCAGATGATATGTCGCAGTAATAGTTTTGTGTTGATAACAACGGAGTTATCGTCATTTATACAAAAACAAAAAATTATTCGGAAGCCGCCATCTTGAATTTATGAATTTTATCAAAAAAATCATGATCTCCGACCTCAAAAACCCCCACTTACCAATTTTGAATGGAATCGGACCAAATCTTGTCCGCCATCTTGAAGCAGCCATTTTTTTAAATTTCAACAAAAATTCCATAATGTATTGTCATCAAAATTATGAACACCTGCCAAATTTCAAGTTAATCGGAAAACTCCAAGGAACTATTGATACTGCTTCTACAGTGATTCTCAACTTGCTACCGATTCACTATGCGAATTTCAATGAACTTTGTGATCTGTAACTCGACTGGAAGACTCTGATTCATGACATGTCATCAACAGTTCTGTTCTTATCAATCAACTTCGAAGATAGAAACAGAGACAATGAATATTTAGTCAATGAATTGGCTGGATGGGAGTTCGTAGACAGAATAGATACATCATCAACGGATAAAACTACGTTGCCAGGAAGGATAAAATATGAATGAACTATCTCTTCAACTATTTACGGTAAAGCAGGTTGAATAATTTTGCTATTTTAGATAGAAGCTGTAGAAGAAGTAACGTATATAACTCGCACGATATGCTCACTCGATTACCATTGTGATCGTTGAACAATAACACTATTCTAAACCTCCAGAGATTGTTGAAATCTCCATCTGACACGAATGACCAATATTCTCATGGATGTTGAATTTTGGTACACAGAATACCTAATTCATTAGATCTAAGTACTTCATATAAGTTCGTGAAACAATTTCCAATTATTCAATTGTTTCAAAATATGTTCCATCATTTTAGGTTCTCAAATTATTGCTAATATTGTTTTTATACAGGTTGATTCTATGACTAATATTGAGCAAAAATATTTCATCGGTAGATAGAAGAGAAACACAAAGAATGAATTTCAGGTTCAACATTTGGAATGCATTATAAAAAATTTCATCATTGCACCTGTTCGATTGAGTCTACTATTTTTAATTAACAAGTCATATTGGGTTTTTTGTTCTGCAAAAATCAGCCAAAATTTTTAACTTGAAAATCTAAAAGTGTTCATTAGTTATTTCTGATTCTGCAAAATATCTTGTGAACAAACAATGTTTTGCATTATTCATTCATTTTTATCATGAGCTAAAATTTCCCGCGTTCATGGAATTGCGTATAGGTCAAAAGTCAACTCGTAGATTTCTGTAACTATACATAATATACATATTATCAGTTCACCAAAACTTGTTACTCTATCAAAACTTTTGCGTTTATAGAACGGCAAAGCTTTGGAATTATTTGCCAATATAAATATTCCCAGATACTTATATCCCCCGAAATTTCAAAAAAAAATCTAACAACTACCTCCTATCCCTATATTCCCTATTGGTATTCGCACGATGTTTTTCGAACATCATAGGAATTTTCTTTCGTGCGCTCCAAGAGATGAAGAAAAGTATCGTTCCTTACTTGCATAATATTCCAATCAGTCGCGAAGTAAATCACAAAATCATCCAATATTCAAGAGGGTTTAACTGTCACTGAGCGGACAATTCAAGAACACATAGGTACCGTTTTCATAATAACTGGTTTACATGCACTTGTTTCACCATTTGCACATAGGCAATTACTCTATTTGTTAGGTACTTTATATACCCCCCTTCACTTTCAAACAATCGTTCACGTACCCAGTGTAGTGCACTTCTTGTACTCAGGTGACAAATTCATAGAGTGAGAGTGAATCAAAGTGTGAAGCCATTTGCTCGCCTATCGTAATAATAAGTCATAATTCACGAAAAACGTTCCGATCATTCTGAATGTCATTTGGACTTTTCAACTAATCTTGGTACCTTCGAATCATATTTCAGCACTTTCCACTATGGAAATGAACTGTTTTCTTGAAGACTTTATCTCCAAATTTTGATTCAGTTTCCTGCAATTTGACCAATAATATGAAAATATGATTTTTACTCAAAAATGCCACTTCTTTTCAATTTCGATAGCACTCAACATTTTCGAGATGAATCGATTTCGAAAGTCTGATCGTGCGTAATGAAAATAGTGAGTACCCCTATAATAGCACACAACGTCCTAGGGACGTCCCTATTTGGTACAATTCACGTTCGAATGTCCCGAACCAAAAATGAGTGTCCTTGGGACGTCCCATCCCATACATCTCATGCAATGTCCGAGCAAGGACGTTCACGGAATGTCCCAGCTGGTACTTTATTTCAAATGTCCTAGAAATAGCATCCCTCGGACGTCCCACGTGGTACATATTGTAGAATGTCCATGCAAGGACGTCCTTGGCATGTCCCTGATGGGATATGATTTCAAACGTTCCTTCAGGGACATCCATCGGATGTCCCGAGTAGTACATATCCTGGCATGACTTCAGATCTCATATAATGTCCATTATAGACAACCATGAAATGTCCCTGATGCTACATTCCTTTGAATATCACTGCACAGACGCCCTTAATATTTCCAGGATCGTATCGTTCATGAACTGTACTCTTCCAATGTCCTAGAAATAACGTTCTATAGACGTCCCAGACGGTACTTTCGATATGTTGTCCATGCGAAGACGCTAACTTACACCTCGCCGACGAAAGATTGCTCGTAGGCTATAAGTACTCTTCGTCAATGTCCTTCACGTAAGTCCATTGGACATCCTTGGGAAGTTTTTTGGGGACCTTCTACGGACCATCAACTCAACTGGATGTCCTAATCAGTTATGCAAGATCTGGTCTTATAGGGACCCAGAAAAATTCAAATTCGAGGACTGGAACATCCTATGAACATCCAATTGATATCCCTCAGCGTTGCTGATAGGTTGTCCTATGGATATCCTAAAGATGTCCTCTGTAGTGCTTGGATGAGGAATACTGTAGGATTTATGTATTCGATAGTTGTCCCAGGGACATCTCCCAAGGACGTCCCTAGTTGGTCCTCGAGTGGGACATTTGTGCGTCCCACATACGTCCTGACCTGACAGGACGTCCTAAGGATATCCATGGGACATTAGTGTGTTATAAGGGACAGTCACATTCAGAAAAAAAGCGTACAAGTATATTACAGAAAGAAATTAACGTCATCTTATTCTGCATAAAACGGGCTATCGGGAATGATTGTTCACCAAATGTTGACAGTAAAGATGTCATAGATTTTCGAAAACATAATGCATTGTCTGAGCCAGTTTTACACAACTAGAACTAGGATCCCGAAATCTTCTCCTTTTTTTTTTTTTTTTTTTTTTTTTTTTTTTTTTATCGATTGGAGCGCACGAAAGGGAATCCCTATAATGTTCAAAGAACATCGTGCGTTCCTAGAGAGGATAGGGACAGGAGGTAGGTATTGGAATTTTTTTTGAATTTTTGGAGATTATATGTTGTTGGGAATACTTCCACAGGCAATTGAATACGACTGTACTTTTCGTTATGGTAGGGGAGCCAAAGCGAATATTATGGGATTTACTCGAGCGTCAAAGAATAACATGAGGAGGTAACCTTGAACCTTGTGAAGTACTCCCACCATACCTGACCCGTTTATATGGGGTTTAATATCTGGAGCAGCTTATCAGATAAGTGAAAAAAGCCACCTAGCCCACCTTTTTCGTATTTCCACCATGATCACTTTTCCCAGATTATCACCAGGCCCACATTCCTATATCTCCCCCAATTCTCATTGGGCCCACCTCTCTCGTCTACCTTGCCAACTTTCACTCGATTTGCACCAAGCTCATCTTCTTCGTATTCTCAACACGCCCAAACTACCTTTAGGTTCTCACCAGGCCTACATTTGAAAAATTCTACCAATTCTCACCATGCTCACCATACTAGTATTATTACCATGCCCACTCCACCTTTTCATCGATATAAATTGAGATCAGAATTCCCCAAATACTGTTACCCAGTGATGACAAACAAATACGACCAGTCTTTTTCCATCTCTCTGAATTCATTGATGAGAAATAAATCAAAACGATTAGGAGAAAATTGTTCATTATTTCTAATTATCTCCTTCCGACCAGCTTTATTAGTGTTCTACTTTCCTATTTCAGTGACCTCGAAATATCCAATCGGAGAAAAATAATTATAATTATAATTAATCAGAGATGAAAACTACGTATTCGAATTGACTCTCTGTCGAACTTTTTTTTATCTCTTGGAGCGCACGAAAAGAATTTCCAATTATGTTGGTGGAACATCGTGCGTACCTAGGGAGGACAGGTAGAGGAGGTAGGTGATGCTTTTTTCCAACTTTTGGAGGTTATAAGTTCTTGGGAATACTTCCATTTGCAATGAATTCCAAAGCTCTGATTTTCTTGCGTCATGAGGACCTATAAGATTGTGAAGAAAAAAATTGTTAATGCCCTCTCGTTGGTGGGGAGAGCTTGTACATGGTTTTCAGAAATGTAAAATAACAGCAGGCACAAAGAAATACTCGGGCTCTTCTGATGTCAAATGCGCCCTACGTGTTTGTCAATCTCGCAATTTGCATGGTGGGGGTGGCCGTACCATGGAGTAGAGGATAGAAAAAAATGTATTCGAGCGCGACGGATATTGAGGATGGATGCCAAGTAAACCCTCAAGTAGCTCCTATTCAGAAGACTGACGAGTTGGACGCGACCAAAATCACGTCCAATTTTCGAAAATGAAAATAAAAATCGTGACCTTGGAATTTTCGAGTGCGTCAGATTATTATACGAAAGCTTCATCTTAATGTCCTTGTCATAGCGACCCATAATCTGTCAATAAAATTATGTAGAGGAATTTCCTCAATCTTTTGACTATTGCACACTTTTCTCTTTCTAATAATTCTTCAAATTTGTGCTTGGTAAGAATCTATTGAGAGGGTACATGGTGAACATATGAGGAAGGTAGACCTGGTGAGAATCTGAATAGTTGAAGTGAGCCTGATGAAAATCAGGTACAAGTGGTCATGATGAAAATAGGAGAAATGAAAGGTTGGCCTGATGGAAATCTAGCAGAAGTAGGCATTGTGAAAATGAGTGAGAATTGTAAGAATTCTCTTCTTAAAAATCTAGTGAATGGGTGAATGGTGGATATCCGAGGAATGTGGGCTTGATGGAAACCTAATGAAATGGGGCATGGTAATGATGGAAACGTGAGCCTACACACAATCGGAAAGATTATGAAAAATGTAGGCCTTGAGAGAATCTTTTGAAAGGGAGAATTGTGGAAATACGTGAAAGGTGGACCTGCTGGAAATCTAATGGAGATGAGCATGGTGAAGATACGAGAAAAGTGGGCCTGGTGATAATCTAGTAGAAGTAAGTATAGTAAAAATACCAGGGAGTTCAGCCTGGTGAAATCTAGAGCTTGGAATTGTAATAGCGATCGTGGAAATTGGAAAAATTACTAAAATGTGGACCTTGTGAGAATCTAGTAGAAGTGAAAATGTTGAGAATACGAGGAAGATGAGCCTGGTGGAAATCTAGGTAAAGTGAAAATGATTGAAGTATGTTAGGAAGGTATGCATATTGAAACTTGTGAGAATTCTTGAAATGTGGACCTGGTGAGAATCTAGTTGAAGTTGGTATGGTGAAAATTCGAGTCAGGTGGGCCTGGTGGACATCTACGAGGAAGATGGGCCTGGTTAGAATCTAATGGATAAATGGGCATTGTAGAAATACGAGAAAGGTGAGAAACTTCAAAAAAGAAAAAAATTGAAAGAAACAAGATAATGTCGGTCGACCTCACTTTATATAATACTTTTCTCAAAAAGTTAACGGTTTTGGCACTATACGGCCATCATCAGACAATTGTTACTGAAATAATATGATGATAATAATGAGGACAAAACAATTTTTATAAACATATCAAACAATATGGGACTCAAAATGAATTGAAATGTGCTAAACTGTCACTGACACTCATTAATTTCTGTTTCGTATCCGACATGTCCAAAGTCAAAGTCATTTTTCTTTCATAATTGTCAATTTTTACAATTTCAGTTACTTTTAGTGAATTGATGCTGATGTTTGTATAGAAACAATTTTTCTAGAAACCATGTTCAACCTTACCAGAGCCAGTTTTGTCTAGCTCTTCAGTGAATTTAAAAAATTTATAGAAATGCTACAGATTCTTCCAACCCGTTGACGAAAATCGTTCGTACTTACCATGATTTATTGTATTCACATTTTGAGTACCATATTCTTTGGTATGCATAAAACATTGTTTCGTCCTCATTATTGTCATAATATTATTTTAGGTAGCATTTTCTGATGATGACCGTAGTGCCAAAACCGGTAACTTTCTAAGGAAGTTTTTATATAAAGTGTGGTCGACCGACTTTGTGTTGTTTTTTCTCATTTTTCCTATAAAATCACATTGGACCACTTTGAGATATGGATGATTTTCATGATTTAAAAGTGAGAAACTCAACAAGCTCAGTCAGCGCATCCATTTGTCGTAAACTTTGTGACATACCTATGCAGAACGACTTTTGTTCTTGTTTATCGAACGGCGATATTCTGAAATTGTTCGTCATTTCAGAATCTCATAACCTACAAAATTTCAAAAACTAATACGATACCCATACCATCTCATGCCTTATCTCCCTATATTCTTCACATTGGTAATCAT